CCCCTGCCCCTTCCTTGAAGCCCCACCCCTTAATTGAAGCTCCGCCCTGTCTATTCTCCTCCTGTCCATCACTTGCTATCCCCAGCCCTTACTTACACACTCTGATAAACAGTTTATTTTTAAATTATGCGATATATAAAATTAAAATCACATGTTTATAGTTATGAAATAAATGGTCTGTTTTTTATTCATGCTATTTAAATCTAAAATGAAGCATTTATAATTATACATTTTGTGGGGACAGAGTTCTGCTGCTGGGGGCAAGAGAGAGGGAACAGGGTGCTGGGAGGGCAGAAGGAAGGATTCTGCAGCAGGGGACAGAGTACCAGTGGGGACAGGAACAGGGACAGAGTTCTGTAGCTAGGAACAAGAGACAGGGGGGGGGAGGCAGCAGGAGGAGAGAGAGCGCGCGTGCTTAAGAGAGAAGACCTGAAAATCCCATCTTATGACTGGCTAATTGGCTAGTAAAACAATAAAACCTAACAGACTTATCTAAACTTTTCCCTGCTTACAGAAGGGTGAAGAGTCTATTCTTGGAGGGAGACATTCTGTCTGTCTCCCTCAGTAGGTGGAGAGAAACTGCCCAGGGACAAAGGAGGAAGAAACCAAAAATTCCTTTGTCCTAGTTTGAAATTCCTACCTGCATTTCTATTGGCCAACTCTACCTTGCTTAGGTGTAGTTAACCCCTTAGTCCCCAGGCTGCTGGCTAACCCTCATAATTATGACAGCTTCTCTGCGCAAGACAGTGTCCACGCTGCCATGGACTCTCTTGCCAAAAAGCACATCTCTTGTGCAAAAGCACATGGCAGTGTGGACAAGCTCTTGCAGAAGACCGTTTGTGCAGAAACTCTTGCACAAAATAGTTCTTGCGCAAGAAGCTTGCAGTGTAGATGTAGCCAATGTGTGTTTCAAGATAGCACTTTGCTATTTTGAAATAGAATGTCCATACTGATTGGACGCTGAATTGCATTTTAGGCCACTCAGAACCAGCTCATGCATGGCATCAGGTCAGCAGCTACATTGTGTGGTTGCAGTTGGAGACTATGTGAACCTTGTACTTAAAGGGACCTCCCCTGGACAACTGGTTCTCAGGTTTCCCTGTTTCCTTGCCTACCTCTCTGAGGGTATGTCTACACTACAGCGCTAATTCGAACTTAGTTCGAATTAGTTAATTCGAACTAAGCTAATTCGAATTAGCGCATCTCGACTTAAAAACTAGTTCGAATTAGTGTTTTGCTAATTCGAACTAGCGCGTCCACACTGATTGGACGCTGGGGAGCACTTAAGGGCAACTGAAACCGGTTCTGGCAGGGCATCAGGTCAGTAGTTGCTTTGTGTGGCTGCTGTCTGAGGCTATCTGAGGCTCGTGCTTAAAGGGCCCCCCCTGGACAGCCGGTTCTCAGCTTTTCCGCTTGCTTGCCTACCTCGCCAAGGGACAGCAAAGCGTTTTGTCTGTGCCCATCTGTGTCGGTGTTTCCCTTCGGGGATGCCGCCGCAGATGGCAACATGGAGCCAGAGCTTACCCTGCACTTTCTGGTACAGTTTCTGGACTTGCTGCTGCAAGCCTGCCAGCAGTGGCTGGAGGCTGCCTGGCACCACCTCGTGCACGTCAGCCCTCTACCTCTCCGCCTGGCCACCCTGGGGGCCATGGAGCAGCTGCTGATGGACACCAGCAGCGACTGGTGGGACCACATCATCCTGGAGTGCTGGGGAGACAGACAGTGGACCCAGAACTTCAGGATGAAGAGGGACACCTTCCTGGAGCTCTGCGAGTGGCTCACCCCTGCTCTGCGCAGAAAGGACACTTGCATGAGGCCCGCCATGCCCCTCCAGAAGCGTGTGGCCATTGCCCTCTGGAAGCTGTCCACGGTGGGAGGGAAGCATTAGGGGGGCAGGGAGAGACAGAGGGAAGAGAGAGGCAGGAGAAGAGAATTTTCTTCTCCTCAGTTCTATTATGAGACACTTCCCATGCGCTGCCCCTTTGGGAAGGGAGAACAGTGTGTGCATGTGAGCAGGGTGTGAAATCCGGGCTCACTGTCCCAGCCCTAGTTCCAGTGGGTTGGTACCCACAGACTGCTTTCGAAGGGCTGCCCAAGAGAAAGGGAATTTCCTGTCCAGGCTGGGAATGGAGGTGGTTGGGGGGGAGTGGTCCATCTCCAGGCATGGGGGATTCATTGGGCTCCTGGTGCACAATTGAAGTTAAAAGCCACATGCCTGGGCATGGGCTGGGCACCTTGGTCCTCAGACTCAGAGCCTGCTGCTCTGCCAGCTGAGCTAGTGAGGAGCCTTAAGGATCCCAGCCTGTGACAGGGCGCCTGCCCTGCATTGGCCCTTTAATACTCGGACTCCGTCCCGGAGCCGGGGCTAGCAGAGAGGAGGCCAGCGGGAGTTAGTTAGGGCTAGAGAGAACCCAGCTGGCAAAGACCCAGGACTGCACGAATGGCTGGTAGAAGCCAGCTGAACCTATTAGGGCATGGGAGAGCCCAGCTGGCAAGGATCCAGGACTGCATGAATGGCTGAGAGAAGCCAGCTGAACCCATTAGGGCGAGTATGAGCACAGCTGGCTC